TCCCATAGGGTGGGGGAGGGGGAGGGGAGGGAGGGGGGCCGAACGATCCTTGTTTAATTAAATATTTATTATGGTGATAACTTGTTATTTTATTATTAAGTATTTATTTATATACAGAATGCAATAGTTATTTACTCAAAATACATGTAAATAATTTATTTTTTGTGTTTATTTAGACAATAGATTAGAACTCAAATATTTGATATAAAACTTTCTATAAAACAAGTTTATATTTATAACCACATGGCAGTATACATAGGCTGGCCATCTGTCCACTATTTGAGTGGACAGTCCACTATTTTAGGTTTATGTTCACTAAGAATTGAGACATTATGGACAGAAATAGTGGACATTGAATTGCTCAATATTAGATTTTAAAAATTTTAAAATAATTGTGATAAAAACAACAAAAATTATTATTAAATTGTGTTATTTTCTTATTAAAAATAAAAATAATTTATTATTAATAGTACTAATAATGTTCACATATTAGTGTACATAATGAAATATATCGTTATTTATAAATACATATATTCATCAACTATTTTAGAAGCTAAAATTCACCTAAAATAGAGCCAAAAATATGTCCACTATATGTCCACTATTTTTACCATATTTTCGAGCAAAATATAGCAATTGTCCACTATTGGAAATTATTGAGTTGGCCAGCCTAAGTATACATGTATAATTTAATTATATTTAAGAATTTAATTATTATTTTAGTTTATATAAAATGTTCATAAATAAAGATATATTTGTATATTAAATGTTGTCTTAAATAAAACATTTCTAATTAAGTTAAAATTTTAATTATATATTTGAAAAATGAATTATGAATATAATAGTAAAAGTAAATAACTGTCCCAAACTATACCTAAATAATTAAGTTATAATTGTTTGGATATAATTATATATTCAGAATATAAGAAGGCGTTCAGAAAAAAATGTCCATAATGGCCATAACTTAAAAACAAATGAAGTTAATTTGATTCTGTCTTCGGATTATAATAACACTAACCCATGTTCACATCTCACATAAAATTTATCAGGATTGATTAACATTAAGAGTATTTATTTTCATAAAAACTGAGAAAAAAATTGCTCAAAAAATTTATTGGTATAGGAAAACTTTTTTCCTGATTGATAAAAGTCATAAGTGTCTATGTAATAATGATAGCTACACATCTCCTCTAAATTTTAAACATATAATTTTACCTCTGAAATTTCTGATTATTTTTTAATTAAAGTTAAAACCAATGCATTTATAAACCAAATTGAACTTTGTAATTTTTTCAATGATCTTTTTACAATGACAATGGAGTGCAGTGTCTGTGCTAGAAATTTTTTTTCTAAAAAAGCTCATTAATATAATTAACAAAGTTAAATTTGGCCTATATGTGTCTTGGTTCTACGCCTTATTATAAAAAAAGTAGAGCTTGCTGAGATGAAAATTTTAATTGAGATGTAATTTTTTCAATGATCTTTTTACAATGACAATGGAGTGCAGTGTCTGTGCGAGAATTTTTTTTTAAAAAAAGCTCATTAATATAATTAACAAAGTTAAATTTTGCCTATATGTGTCTTGGTTCTACGCCTTATTATAAAAAAGTAGAGCTTGTTGAGATGAAAATTTTAATTGAGATTATAGATGAAATGTGTAGCTATCATAATTATATTAACACTTATGAATTTTATCAATCAGGAAAAAAGTTTTCCTATACCAATAAATTTTTCGAGCAATTTTTTTCTCAGTTTTTTTGAAAATAAATACTCTTAATGTTAATCAATCCCGATGAATTTTATGTGAGATGTGGACATGGGTTAGTGTTATTATAATCCGACGACAGAATCAAATTATATCAATTCGTTTTTAAGTTATGGCCATTATGGACATTTATTTCTGAATGCCTTGTTATGTATTAATATTGTAAAAGTTTGGCTCAAAACCCGTAAAGTGAGTTCAAGTCATACCTGAGACACAGGTATTGCAGTATTAGTGCCAGAATTGACTGTTGTTTCCCAAACTCTGTAATACAGACTCTGTATATTGGGATGAAATAGCATTGCGTTTGCATTGAATTCACTTTCAAAGTCTCAAACTCTCACTACATATTTGAAGAGACGGTTAATTTGATTACGTGTTTGTTTGAAGTGACGCACAAATTATCACATTTTTTCTCTACCATTTCCCTCAACATCTCATCCCAACATCTTTTCCCACTAATCTTCCACTCAATTCAACTATTTTTTGTGTTCATTAAATTTTTGGCAGAAGTTTAGCGAAATATATTTTGAAAGAAGCGTTTTTTGAAGACATATGTTTGGTTTGTCGATCGCTGTATAATTAGTGATCATTAAAACCCTTTATAGTGAACACCGATTAAATACAGTGTCCTTAAAATGCAAGGCGTTTCCAAGAGAAGACTGCAGACCAAAGCCTGTATTGCGGGCGCAAAGACTTTCTTAATGTTGTTTAACATTATTTTTTGGGTAAGTTTTGTGGCATATGTTCTCCTAATTGAAATAAATTTGATTTTTTAAAATTAATTAAATTAAAAAATTACGAATAGATATAAACGTTTAGAATTGAATCTCTAAACAAAATATATCCGCTTTTCAGCGCATTTTAGAGTTCATTGACTTTTATGGTCAGTAGTTTTGGTCATGTTTTCAGATTAGCCCTAAAATATGTGCATTGAATTGAATGCATGACTACAGAGTCTGACTACAGACCAGTTAAATACTCTTCAGCGAACCAGCGCTTCAATTGACCCTTTCATACATTATACCGATTATGTATTGTTTAACTTAAAGTTTATAAGATTATGGGCCTAAGGGTTATAGGCTTTGGACAATTGAATTCATTTATTTGCCATTTTTTGTTAAAATGTGATATAAAAATTATAAAAAGGAAAATATTTGTTCATCTTTAATACTAGTCATACAATATAATTGAAACATTATTGAAACATAATTGAAACAATTATATATTGAAACATTAATTAACGCAAAATATTATTGGATTTGATGAACAGATCGTAGGAATAGTATTGTTAATATCGGGAATATGGATGAGAGCGTCGATTGCCAAAGTGTTTGAAGTGTCCAATTATCACTTGGGTTTACCCACACTATTCATAGTGACCGGTCTGGCGATGATTGTGATCGGAGTGTTCGCCTGTTGCTGTACTACTAATGAAAAACCAACACTTCTTTTCACGGTTTGTCTACTTTTGAACACAGAATTAGATTTTTGTTTAAATATTAATTGGAAATAACTTTATGGCAATGAACTCTTGTAACGACACAGCTCTCCATCTTCTTCTTCATTGTGTTTGTTATGGTATTTTCCGCTTCAATAACGGGTTATGTATACAGAGATAATCTTAAAGAAAGTCTTCACAATTCCCTTAACCAAACTTTACTCGAATACGGAACCGGAGGTATACTTGACATGGATTGGGATCGGATTCAACAGAATGTATGTCTAAACACTCATTGCTTATATTATATTTTTTATTACATAATGAATTGGTTTAATGTTGAAAATATACTTTCAGTTGGAATGCTGTGGAGTCGACGGCTTTAAAGACTGGATTTACACGGAGTGGGCGAATGAGAACCGAACCTTTCCATACAGTTGTTGTATTAATAGCAAAACGTGTAACAATTTAGAGCCCAATCAAGTCTATCCAAACGGCTGTTATCAGGAAATCTTGGATCTCTTACAGTAATTTACTGTTACTTTATTATTAAGTTAACTGTATTTAAGAATATTCCTTAACTTAATGTTGTTTTTTAAACAGTAATAACTTAAACGGCATCGGAATCGGAATGCTTTTGGTTGCCTTCTTTCAGGTAATTAGCAATTTATTTAAATAATATAATTTCATTTAATATTATATTTCATTTTAAACAAATGTTTATAGATAATCGGAATGAGTTTATCATGTTGTTTGGCTCTCAACATAAACAAAGCCCTATACGAAGAGATGTTGGAATGATTGTGATCTCATATCAAACTATTTTGTTATGTTTTTTATCAAATACACTAATAATTAATTTTTAAATACATTTTACAACAAAAAATGCTCAAAAGTGGCACAAAAAGTATTATACGTTTATTAAAATTTTGAATGATTTTATCGAAAAATTGATTTAATAATAAGGAGAGTAAATACAAGAAGTGATATCTGCTGCCGGACTATAGAACTGATCGTCCGATTCCGGAGTGTTTCCAACTTTTCCGGCGATTCTCGACGCGTTTGGAAGCGAATAATACGAATCGTTTTCGTCATCAAATCCAATGATTGAGTCAGTCTTTCCTTCGATAACTTCATCACAGATTCTCTCGACTTCACTCATTAGATGATTGAGAACTTCATCACAGATTGCGGTGATTTCGAGAAGAGATGACTCATCGCTCACATCTGAAGCACATTTTGTGCAATTGATTTCTTCACTCAATTTGGTGTCGGCACTGATTTCGTGAACCGACTCATTGTGGCGGTCAATACTTTGTCGCAAATTCTCGTTGACTTTTTGCAATTTTTCGCATTCGTCGACCATTTTTCTGTAATCACTGGTCACACAATTGAACATTGAGTTGACATCAGTGTTGTCTTCAAGTGTTATATTTTTGAACAATGACTGCATTTCTTGTTTCATTTGAGCACATTTTTTATCCGCACTTTCTTTCGATTCTTTAAGAGTATTGACTTTAGAGTAGATTTCATTTGAGAGTTCATCTGAGTTATCATTAGTGATAGACATGCCATCCATTCCGAGCCCAAGTTCTTTAGAGATGAGAATCAATAAATCCTCTAATCGTTTCAAATAATAATTATTCACTAATTTTGCACTCGTTTTCCTAATATTTGCTTCTCGTCTCTCACTTTCTTCTCGTAATTGTCGTTCATTTTCTTCTCTCAATTGTTTATCCTTTTTCTCTTTCTTCTTCGCCGAAGAACTCAATGGAAAGAATGGCATTATTTGCGAAAAGAATGGCAATGTTTTAATCGTTTATAAGATTTGCAAATAAGATTCAAATTTGTAATAATTACTCTCCAATAATACTTAAGTATAGATTGCAATGTCTAGTGTGCGAGACATACAGAATCGTTTAGTTTGTGACTAAATATTGTCATTTACAACAATCAGTGCTTTAAAACACGAGTTTTTTATCAGCCAATAAAAGTAATAGCGATCAATGGCCTCAATTGACTCGCAAAGTTATTTCAATTGTTTATTGTCTACTCTTTGGGCAAAAATTGGATGCGATTTAATGGCAATTTTGTGCTGCCGTAAGAATTGTTAAGAATAATTATAAAATAAAATCTTAATAAAAGCAAAGTGTAATTAAACACCATTTTCAAAGTTATATGCTTTTCAATCATTAGAATCTAATGATTAGATTGAAGTTTTAGTATAATTTGGTAAAACTTGTCAAATGTATAGCAAAGTGAGACTCACTTGAGATGCAGTGCAATCATTGCAATGTGTGTAACGCCTGAACTGAACACGAGTTGTAAAGAGTGTTGTGTTTTGGAGTGAATGGCGAGTGATTTGCAGACAAACCGCTCACACATTGACAGCTATTTTGCACTCATTTTCAAATATCACTTCATTTTGAAATAATTATTATTGTTTTTCGTTTCATATTTTGATTATATTTGAAGTGATTATACGATCGATAACTAGTTGTGGACACAATGGCAGACATATTGGCCTCAAACGAGACGGTGTTGTTGTCGATCACAACGGATCACAACTCATTCGCCACCGAAAGGAGATTCCCATCAAATCTATTGATATCCGATTTGAAGGCCAAACTCGAGTTAATTACCGGCGCTTCCAATGAGACAATGGATTTGCAAGTATTGGACAGTAATCACGATTTGGTCATGAAATTAGACGATAACGGGAGACGATTGAAGAGCTATTTGAGTGATAATCAGAACCAATTGAATGTTCACGTATTGGACACCACTGTGAAAGTGGGCGACTTCGAGGACGTGAGTGGTGTCCCGAAGTTTGAATTATCACAACAGGAGTACGAGAAGAGAGGCGACTCTGTGCTGGCATTCAAGCAGAAGAACAAAATCGGAAGATTTGGTGATCCGGACGGCGCCGGCGGCGACGACCCGATGAGCGACGGCCTCCGCGAGTGTGACATAAATGTGGGCCAAAGGTGTGAAGTCTGTGTGAAGGGTTCGGCCAGACGTCGGGCGACTGTCATGTTTGTGGGCAACACTCACTTCAAGTCCGGCCTTTGGATTGGCGTCCAATACGACGAGCCTTTGGGCAAAAACGACGGCTCAGTCGATGGGAAGCGGTATTTCAATTGCCGGTCAAAATACGGCGGTTTTATTCGACCAAACGATTGCATTATCGGAGACTTTCCCGAAATAGGCTTCGACTCCGACGACGAGATGTAGCCTTAAATTGAATTCATATAATAAATACATGCCTTTAAATACACACATATTTTATGCAAACATTTAAATATTTATGAAATGATCAAATTATTCTTGTTTTGCGGTTCAAGTTTTGGTTTACTATTATATAAATTAATTGAATTTATTTTATAATTTTGTTTTTATAAGTTATGTATCGAAACACATAAAAAGTCAATTCAATATCTAATCAAAATATTGTTTTGTAGAAAAATATTTATGATTTAAATTACAATTTATGATTAAATCATATGTTTTATAAACATTTCATTAATACTCTAAAAACACAAATAAATGAATTTTATTTTAAGATTAACATAATTTTGAATCAATTAATTTCTAAGTCATACAAACTATATGTAAAGTAACTTTAATCATACTAAACAATATTTATAATTAAATTTCAATTATGAACTAAATGTTAAATAGTTTTAGAGAGAAAATGATATATTAATTGATTAAACAATTGATTGAATGATTGTGTGTTTATTAACCATAATTGTGTTGAAACGTGAAATGTATGGTTAAATAGGGCGCCAATCAGTGACTACTGGTCTCACAACACATGACTTGTGTTTACAAATAGTATTGAACTGAAAGACAACTCAAAGACAACACATAATCACATCATTTAACAGATGTTTTGCCCTTTAATTCAATACAAATTCATTTATTTATATTCACATCAAATTTAAATCACGTTTCGTTTTACACTTTTTCTATTCATTTTAGCGTTTATTTTGAATTTTAATTAATTTTGAAAATGAGTTTCAATTGAAATATATTTGAAATTAGTTTGAATTGAAGGCAAAAAACATTGAATTGTATGCGAAATGTGTGTAAATTTGACACTAATTTAAATGTAAACGAAATGAATGCCAAAAATGATAACCAATTGATTGATAACAACACTTCTGGTGTGAAATGTGAGCCAAAAGATGGTGACATTTGTGTCCATTTCGATGATATATCGCTTTGCGATAACACTTCCACCAGTGATGAGATGGTCGACCAAAACACTGATTGCGATCAACAACTCAATGAGTTTGGCATTAATGGTGACACCACTGAAGATAAACTATCCGTGGATTTGACCACAAGTAATGGATCCACAGAGGAAGAGGTGGAAGATGTGGACCAACAACTGGTTGGCGACAATGGATTGAGTGATTCAGACATTGTCTCCCAACTGAAGACTAAGAATGGCCTCAATTTAGATGTGAAGGCTATAGAAGAGAAATATGAGAATCAGATAATTGTTTTGCAAACCGAGAGAAACCAATTGCAAACCGAAAGCGAAGAAATGAAACGAAAACTCGCGGACAAAGAGCTGTCATTCAATGATATGAAGACTCGTTTGACAAACAGTTTGGAGAAAATGGAGAAACAGAAGGATTGGACGAAACGAGAGTTGGAGTCAATGGTTATTAAATACGCTAACAATGAGAAGGAAGTGATTCTTCTGAAGAAAGTTAGAGACGATTTCGATAAGAAAATGAAAGACATTCTCAAAGATAAAGAGGGCCTCAGGAACCGAATCAAAGCCCTGTCCAACGAAAAGACACAATTGATGAGTAATTTGGATAAAAAAGTAGTAGAAATGTCTCAAATGACTAGAGATTTAGACAAAATGAAAGATGAACTCAAAGATAGAGACAATAAGTGGAAGCAAACGATTAGTAAATTGAAGGATGAGGTGAACGAACACAACGACACTAAAGCCAAACTCGAGGCGATGTCTCAAAGTATGATTGAATTGAACGCAGAGTGTAATGGTTTGCGACAAGAGTTGCAGATATTATTGAAGGCCAGTAATGGAAACGAAGACATGAGTAGTGATGAGGAGAGCGTTGTGTCCAAAATTGAATTATTGAATACTGAGATTGAAAACTATAAGAAGAAAATGAGTGTTTCGAGCGAAGAGAACCACAGTTTGACGATTAAGATCCAAACCCTCGAAAGGGAACGTTTGGATTACGAACAAAGTGTCAGTAAATGGAAACAATCGGTCAATGAATTGGAGACACAATTAAGCGAATATGTGGTCAAACTTAGAGATAAACAACAGTTAGAACTAGAATTAGATCAACAAAAACAATTGGTTTCTGATCTGCAGAAAGATATCGAAAGATTCAAAACATCTAATAATGAATTGAGAGCTGAGATGGAGTCGTGTCGACACAAAGAAGGAGAACTCCTAGAATTTACGGAACGACTGACCGCTAAGACCGTGACTTTACAGTCGGAACACAACCTATTGGAACAAAAGTCACTTCTTCTTAAAGAAGACGTCGAAAGACTGCAGAAACAGTGCGAAGAGATGTCTAAAGAGAACGCAATTGCTGTTCAAACTATGGATCAATTGAAAGAATCGCATCAAAAAGAGTTACATCTTTTGGCTAAAAAATTAGCAGAAAAAACCAAATTAAGCGATGAATTGAAGATAAAAGTTGACGAATTGGAGAATGAAATGAGAGTCAGTAAAAGAAGACATATGTCTAACATAAAAGAGCTGAACAAAGAGTTAGTTTCAATGAAGAAACGAATGGATCACTTGGACGTGGTTTCCAATAATAGTCAAACCGATGGCGTAAGTCTCGGCTCGCGAACCAGTTCTTCAAACTCATTGAACGAAGCGTTGAGTTCATCCCATACTTCACACACATCCCAATCATCGCAACCCAAACCTACAGTCAGTATTCCTCCGCAAACACATTCAGTCGATTCGACCAACACTTCGGTCCCAAACACTATGATTCTTCCAGAAGTGGACAAAC